GCTTCCCTACCTCTGCTTTGAATTTTAATACCAAAGGCATACATTATTTTCCTTAGCAGGTGCTTATTCACACTGGGTGTATGACTCTCGTATATGTGTTGCAAGGGATTAAGTAAAAAAAAAAAAAAAAGCAAAATGCTCTTAAAATTCATTCGGTTGTGTTTTACATAACCCAAAAGAGACTTGATTCCCCACTCTCAATTCTTTGCTTTACTATATTGAAAACAGAAACAGTACCTTTCTGGTTTGTTTTTTCTTACAGGGTCAAGTAGCCAGGACATCTTTGCATGAAGAAGACACAGCAGGAGGACTCTGTTGTTCAGCCTTCACCACCAATAAATACAAAACTGACATTATAGTTTGGCAATAATGTGGCCTGAACAAAAGTGAATGGCATCTCCTGTTCTTATACCAAATTTAGTTTCTTGGCATCAGGGAGGGCCTATTTCTATCCCCCCAAATTTTTGTACATTTTTTTTTCATTTGCTTCCATAAATGCAACACTGACAGGTTTTTTTCCTAAGGAAGTGAAAATACACTGCCCTGGTTCATTTTCCTAGGACATGTTCACCTTTTCTAAACGATAGATCAGAAATTGAAACAGATGTGGCAATGGTGGTGGATGAAGGTGTGTTTGGCAGGGCATGATAAAAAATAAATAGAAGGGTTTGTCCTTCAGGTGTGATCTGCCAGATTTTATGCCTCCAAAAGTGGTCAAGGTTAGATCTCCACCTTTTTACAGTGAACTGTTCTAGTGTGATCCCACGTCTGTATTTTTAAAATCCATTTTGTATTAAAATTAAGTGTGTGCCTTGTCTTTACATGAAGAGAACCACAATAGTGTTCAACAAATTCGTCTGATTTGGTTATTTCCTTCATGTCTTGGATGTAAATTCAAATCTCAGACACTATTGTCTCTAATTGTTTCAGAAGTCCAATTTTGAAATTTGGCTAGAAATTTGGGATGAGGGATGTCACACTTGGATCAGTCACTGTGGATGGAACAAAATTTCTCACCTGTATTGCTTTAAACTATACATAGTGTGTGTGTATTACTGTACTACATACACACATATATGTATATGTTACAGTAATACATTGATTTTTGCAGTGTTGAACCAACTAGAAGGTAAAGATGCAAGGATTTAGCAAATGAGCTATAGATGCAAATTTTTACTGCAGAGTAGGTTGTAAACAAATCCATCTCTCTCTTTCTTTCTCACATTTAAAATATGAAATCCTATACTGTAGGGATTCTTTTTTGTTTGTTTGCTTTATAGTGATAAAAATGTTTCCAATAAGTGTCCAGGAGCCAACCGTTTGTTACTGAAATCCCCAGAACGCCATAAAATTTGCAATGCAAACAATTAGTGCTGTATGCCAAACTCTGCAAAAAATAAAAAGGAAAAAAAGGAAAAAAGCCCTCCCACTCACACCACCTCGAAACATGAGGCTCTGCTGTACAATCTGAGATAGTCTCTTTGATTTCCATCTACTGCTTGACACGGCGGTGGCCAAGCGGAGCCTGCCTCCAGCCTGGCCTCCTTACTTGCCAAGCGTGTTGAATTGGTTCGAATGCCACAGAAGAAGGAAAGGGGCAAAATTAATAACGCTAGAGCACAACCATCAAATCATTTTCATATTGAACCTGCGTGGTCCTGAAACCTCCCCTTCCACCACTGCACCATTGTTTTTACGGGGCACGTACTCGAGGTCGATGGTGGTTTTATGCTTGCCTTTCCCACGGCTCCAGACAAAAAGTAGTAAGAAACAAAATAAAACCACACCAAGGAAGGTGAAACAGCCCATGGCCGTCGACACCAGTATTGTCTTAAGGTCCAGAGCAAATGTATTCACATTGGTTCCATTGGAACTGGTGTCATTGGAATCTGTCATGTACATAGGAGTCCTGTTGGCATAAAGAAAACGATCTGAGGCAAACCCCTTGACGGTGAGGGTGGCTGAGGAGGTGTCATTTCCAGCAGCATTGCTGGCCACACAAACATAAATCCCACTATCTTGATCTTGAGCAAACCGGATCTCAAGTGTACCATCTGTGAGCACCGTTGCTCTCCCGCTGGATTTTGCGGTGACCAGTCTCCGTCGTGGTGTCAACCAGGCGATGGTCGGCTGAGGATCTCCCTCGGCATGACACAAGAACTGCACCGTCTGCCCTTCTTCAACCACCAAGTACTGCAGCTTCTTTTCATATATCCTGGGCTTCTTGCAAGTGAAGTAGAAAGAAAGGGCAGTGCTGTGGAAGTCTTTAAATGGCCTCTCTTTGACGCTGTCTGGACCGGCACACATGGGTTGCCGGCCACCAAACTGCAGCATGGGTTGCCTTTGTAAGATCCAGAGCAAGCGGCAGTCGCAAGCCAGGGGATTGTTGCTTATGCAGAGAACTTCCAGGGATTTGACAGAATGGAAAACATTCTCTTCCAGAGTTTCCAACAGGTTTTGGGACACATTTAACACGCGGAGGAATCGAAGGCCTTGGAAAGCATGAGGTTCAATGGCGTGCAGCTGGGCTCCCACTATGTGCAACTCTTGCAGGCGCAACACATCTGCAAGCATGCCAGATTCGATTGTGCTGATGGGGTTGTAGGAAAGATTCAGGTGGGTCAGGTAAACCAGGTGCTTCAGAGCGACATAAGGGATTGTGGACAAATTGGTATTGGTAACGGAGAGAGAAGTGAGGTTCAGGCCGTAAAGACTGTTGGCAGGGATCGTGTCGAGCATAGGCCAATAATCTATTTCTAGGTTTTTCAGGTGGAACAATCTCTTAAAGGCATACGCAGGCAACAGGTTGATGTTGAGATGTCTCAGGTGCAGGCTGATGAGGTTGTGAAGGTAGGAAAGGGCTTCTGTTGGTACAGCAGTTAGGTTGCATTTTTCCAGAGTGAGGTGCTCCAGACTGAGCAATCCATTAAAGGCCCTGTGGGAGATGTAAACCAGATCGTTATCCCCAACCTCAAGGGATTTGAGGTTGTGCAGGTCCTGGAACATGTAATCCAGCAGGATGACAATCTTGTTCTCGCTAATATCCAGCTTTGTTAAGTTTGACAAGCCGGTGAAGACTCCTAAAGGGACCAGCTTCAGACGATTCCCTTTCAGCCGCAGAGAACGCAAATTAAATAGGCTGTTAAAGGCCCCAGGCTCAACATTGCCCACGATGTTATCGCTCAGATCTATCTCTTCAAGCAAAGGGAAAGCGGTGAACTCCTCCGGATTGATACTCTTTAGCCTGTTTTTGCTAAGATCCAAGATTTTGGTCTCTATGGGGATGCCCTCAGGGATGGCAATCAGGCGTCTCCGGTGACAACTGACAGACTTATTCTGTGCTGAGCATTCACAGCGAGCTGGGCAACCTAGGGTGGAGCCTATGAAAAGTAGCAGCACAGCCAGACTTAGAAATGGCTGCCAGCAAGATATGGCTGTGTGAAGCATGACTCCACTAATGTTGTCTAATCCTCCGTCACAGGCCTGCCAAGGAGAGAAATAGAGAGGGGGGGGAAGGGAGGGACGGAGGGGGAGAGAGAGAGAGAGAAATGACTATTAGTTAGGAAAACTGACAGGTCATGTTCATTTTCAGCGAAAAGCTACTGCAGCTAAACGAAACTTGAACTAATATTGAGGGATTGCATTGAAATCAAAAACAAAAAATCTGCGACCGTCCAGATGTTGTGGAACTACATGTCCTTGGAGCTGTTCTAGTGTGGTTAAGCAGCATCAGAAGAGTTGCAGATTCCCCAATCCTGACCCCCAATATGGGTTTTATGCCGATTCTCCCTCTTCAACAAAACATAATAATGCTTAAAACCCAGGCATTCTTTCAACAGAAGAGAACTACTATCAATTGATTTTCATGGTTAATATGTCAGTTATGCATTTTCTATTTCAATTCTTAAGGGGATCCTATCAATTGCTACAGTCATTTGTTAGGAAAAGTTGTATAATTACTAGCACCATTCTGTAGTTGTTGGGACAGTTCCTCGAACTGATTTTTGTAGCACTAGCAAACATATAAAAGGCTGTGATACACTCCTCCAGCAATGCCTCCCACACCCCTCCCGCAATCATAACTGCCTTGTTCCCTCTTTGAAAAGAGGGGAATGTCCTCTGGCTGAAGCTTGAATGGCATATAATTTAACTTTCAGCTCCCTAATTTTAATAGTTCTCAAATAGGTACATGTGGCCCGCCAGGGGCCAGTGGATCTGGCAGCAGATTCTTACAGTGAGAAAGTTGGGGAGGAACAAGGACCAATCTGGAATCTGGGGAAGGCTCTGACGAGTGCTTTCCGTCGGAGGAAGAGATTGAGCCAGAGCCATCTGACAGTTATCAGCTGCTTTTGAAGTTGGACAGCAGTGGGGCAGAAGAACAGCTGGATCCTGTTCCCAGTGTGACCATGCACAGAGCTGCCAGGAGAAGGGAACAGCTAAGGAACAACTCGAGAGTAAAGCCACAGGTGGATGGTGAATGGCCCCTCCCATAGGGAAAAAAGAGGAGCGAAAGTGGAGGGGAGTTTGCAGGAGACAATTAGTTCAATTCATTAGAGTGAAGATCTGTTCCTGACTTCTTTCCAAGTATTGTCTGCTACAGAGTGGCGTTTGAAAGATATCGGCCTGGCAGCTCTCCAAGCCTGATAAAGGTCTGCAGTTGTGAAATCTCTTGAAAGACTGCTGGCTGGGACTTTGCTGGAGAGGAATTCAACTAATCAAAATGTGTTTTTTCAGGATGAGGAACCGGCTTCGTGCTTTTGGAAAGCCTAGGTCAGAACAACTGTATTATGAAGTGCCAAACCCTTCCCTTGAGATTCTTTTATACCAGCTCCCCCAAACACGACATTCAATCCAAATTATGTTCAATTACAACCCAAACCAGCTTGAAAAGACCTTTTGTCCAACATACTTGGAAGGCACCAATTTGCGCAAGGCTGCTATTTGCTACCAATGTTTTTACTGTGTTGGTTTTGATAGACGATGGTGGGCTAAATACATGACTGGTTACTCATATAGGTACAAAATTTTGCTCATATGCACAAGCCTCTAGTCTTCTCTGCCACTGAATTCATATATGCTGGTTTTGAATTTAATGGCATTATGTACTAAGGAATAGCTCTAGGTGGAAGCCTATTTATTTAAGGCATGTGGGTCCACTTCAGGTAGTCCTCAACCACAGTTGAGCTCAAAATTTGTGTTGCTCAGCGAGACAGTTAAGCATGTTTTGCCCATTTTAGGACCTTCCTTGCCACAGTTGTTAAGTGAATCTGCAATTGTTAAATTAGTAACATAGATGTTAAGTGAATCTGGTTTCCCCATTGACTTTGCTTGTCAAAAGATCACAAAAGGTGATCACATGACCCCGGGACAGTGCAGCTGTCATAAATATGAGTCAGTTGCCAAGTGTCCGAATTTTGACCTTGTGACTCTGGGGATGCTGCAATGGTCATAAGTGTGAAAAACAGTCATGTCTCTTTTTTCACTGCTCTTGTAACTATGAATGGTCACTAAACAAGTAGTTGTAAGTTGAAAACTACTTGTATACAGGCAGTCCTTGACCATAATTGGGGCCAGAATTTCTATTGATAAGGTCATAAAGCACAATGTCCTGTGAGTACCCCACTTAGTGACAGCAATCCAGGTGCTATTAAGTGAATCATTAGCCAAGGAGACACTCAAGCTAAGTCAGTGTGGGCTTGGTCCCTCCGACCTGAGCCTTGATATGGTAAGGATTCCACAAACAATTCCATCAACAGACATTTTTGACCTACAACCAGCCTACGGATCCCTCAGAATCCAACTCAACCATACAGCCAGTCAAAGACAGCACCAAACCTTAACCAATTCCCACTGCCCAGCAGTTCACCTCCCAATAACTCTGACCCGTTAATCTCCTTATCACAAGACCCATCACAAAACTCCCTGATGCTGACCCATCACAAGACCCTCCCTTGACACACCCATACCCGAAGCCCTTATAAACAGAACACAGACACTCACATCCTCTAAACTCCACTGAAGATGTTACATAGCCTGGTAACGAAACGTTCGGAAACCAACCCACAAGCTCGGAGACTGAACCTTAACCCTCACCCTACTCCTGAGCTACAGATATTCGCCACTATTGTAATGGTAAGGGATTGCCTCCAACTCTTTCCACTGTGCTGCAGCTGACAAGCATCCTGAAAAACAACTGGTTCTGGAAATGCTTGCCTTGCTGTGGCTCTTGGTGCAGTGTGGTTCAGGGGCTGCAAAGAGTTCCTAGCCACAGAGAAAAACCTCTGCCACCTTTAGGAGCCTCAGTCACCTCAGTGCAGTTTAGCAGCATGGCACCATGCCCAGGGAAGCCCCAACAATGTGGCATCAGGTTGCAGTATCATGAGAAGGCCCAGACCAAGCCCGCTTGGAGCAAGAAGCTGCCAGGATCAAGAAGAGAGAACAGAATCACACAGTTGGAAGGGATCTTGGAGGTCTTCTAGCCCAACCCCAGTTCAAGCAGGAAACCCAAAGGTCCTTTTTCAAGAGGTAACTGGACTTTCTGGTTTCTTGCTTCTCATCCGAGAGCTTCTTCAGCTCTGATTGGATGGAAGCTTTTTGGATGAGAAGCAAAACGTCTTCAAAGAAAAACCAGAAAGTCCAGTTGCCTCTTGAAAAAGCATATTTGGGACAATTGAGAATCTCCATCGACATTCAAACAGGAAAACCTATACAGGTAGTCCATGACTTACGACCACAGTTGAGCCCAAAATTTCTGTTGCTAAGTGAGATTTTGTTAATTGAGTTTTGACCCATTTTACAACCTTTCTTCCCACGGTTGTTAAGTGAGTTGTTAAGTTACTGACATGGTTGTTAAGTGAATCTGGTTTCCCCACAGACTTTGCTTGTCAGGTCGCAAACAGTGATCACATGATCCTGGGACACTGCAACTGTCATAAATATGAATCAGTTGACAGGTGTCTGAACTTTGGTCTGGTCATTAGTTACTTTTGTCAGTGCCATTGTAACTTCGAATGTTCAATAAATGAAGTGTTGTAAATTGAGGACTAACTGTACCATTTCAGACAAATGGTTGTCCAATCTCTTCTTAAGTGTCCAATCTCCAGTGTTTGAGAACCCACAGCTTCTGGAGGCAAATTGTTCCACCGATTAATTATTCACACTGTCAGGAAACTTATCTTTATTTCTAGGTTGCTTCTCTCCTTAATGAGTTTCCACCCATTGTTTCCTGTCCTGCCTTTGGTGCTTGTGGCAGCCCCTCAAATATTGGACCACTTCTATCATGTCACTAGGCCAGGGGTCGGCAACCTTAAACACTCAAAGAGCCACAAAGGTCCTAACTGGAAGCCCCCCATTCAATTCTGGAGCCGATTGGAAGTCCGGTACCCCCACCATAGAGTCTCCCCCCCCTGCGCGGCATCCTTTTTCCTCTACCTGTGCTAACCGAAAGTCCTATCAATTGTGGAGATGACCTGAAAAACCCGCCCCTTGCCATAGTCTCTCTTCCTGGCGCACCGTGCTCCCCCCAACCAGAAGTTCCTCTCAAAATTGTGGCACTGACCGGTGACAGGGAGCCACAGCAGAGGGATGAAAGAGCCACATGCAGCTCCAGAGCTGCAGGTTGCCGACCCCTGCACTAGGCAAAGTGAAAAGAAGGACTTTCACAGAGAAGGTTAGCTACAGAAGTAGGAGCTACTGGGGCCCAAAAGGCATAGATGGAGGAGAGATAGGTGGTAGGGGAAAGGTGAAGTAACCCTATGGTGTTAAGTGCGTCTATCAGTCTGCCAAGTGCCCAAATTTTGATCATGGGGGTGAGTGGGAGCTGCAATGGCTATTTCTTTTGGGTCTTGTCATAAGTTTCTTCCGTCATCACTGCGTAGCATCGAGCAGTTGCTGCATAATGATCATACATTGAACATTACTTAAAACTAATTTTCTCCAAGCTCTCATTCTGATTTTTGGGCATTCAGTGGATGTTTTTCAACCACTTTCTTTCTCTCAAAAAGAATGAGAAAAGGGAAGAAGCAAGATAAATTAGATTGATTTCTCTACTTTTATCCCCAGCATGAATGCTGATTATGATCTGCATTCTTGTTCGTCGAAGGAAATGGTATTGTTAAGATCTAGAAACATCTAAAGAACTGCTGACACATTTTCTTTATGAGTACCAGTTATTTTTATAATTACAAGTCACTGTGGAGAAACAGCTGGGATTGGAGTGCAGAATTTAATAAAGACACTGAGCATTACATTTGGAGTACTGCAGGTCTCTGTCATTCTTTTTTATTCTCTACTGAATACTAAAATAAAAACACAAGAATAAAAGCCATCATTCAAGCCTTTTCTTCCATTCCTGTGTGGTTTCAAACTATGGCAACTGTACTAAACCAAAAATGGTTTATTTATTCATTCGCATACTTCAAGCATTAGACTAAGCTAAAATCCTATTATCTACCTACCTACCTAATCCATGGGTGTTAAAC